AAATGACACCTTTACGATTGACCAATTCTGGTCGCTTTTCCTTGACCGCTGCATTCAATTTGTCCAGTTGCTAATATTCACGGATAATAAAAAATAACATAATAATAATAATAATTTTATAATATAACATTTACGGATATCATAAAAATGGGAGTGAGAGACATCTATAACTGAAATCGGCAATTACTTAGTTGCCAACCCAATAGTTTCGAGAAAAATGCCTTCAAAGTTTAGTATATCGACAACGATATAAGGTCGTCGCGTCTTTCAAACACTCATAACTTCGTCAATTTTAGGAGTTCGCATGTACGGTTCCAGAAATGTATGTTTGAAACTGTATCCTTCAAGAATATGCAAAAAGATTGATTTTTTTCAAAAGTTTACACTAGAATAGCTCCTTAATATTTTTACGGCTGAAAAAGCCGAGTGAAACAAGCTTCGCACCAGAACGTTCCAAAATTGTTACCCGGGTTAACGCTCGAAATCTCTAAATTCGGCTCACAATAAACAGCAGCGCACCTGAATAACCAACGCGAATATAACGCGGAACAGAATATAAACGGAAATGTCCTAGTTTGTAAAATGTACAAAAAAATGTTTCGGGGCATGTACGAATTACACGTGGAAAATGGCTAAGTGATGAGCGATTTCACACCGAACAAGAGACGAAAAGAACTGAAAAGAACGAACGTGCCTCGTGTGCACACACAACGACAAGTTTTTTTCCGAAAAACCTGGACGCCGCCGGTCGCTGTTCGTGTTTTGTTAACACAAGCAGAACAACTTTCGTTCAGTGGTGTAAACGCGAGGAAGTGGAAATTCTCGTTCTCTACCTCCTCTTTTACATTACTCAAATAGACAACGTCCTTCGAGGTGCAATGGCGTAATTCATTTACAGATTAACATGCTCTACGCGGAACTGACGACTGCGTAAAACAAATTCTCTGCGTTATACAGTCAGTGTAACAAGTACTTTCGTACGTTGAATCTATTCCCGATAATTTCGTAAAACCATATCGTACAACAATAAATCCGGACTCATTATAAAGCCTATAGCTTCTATTGTAATATTTATATGTGACATGCTTTTACATAATACAATCCCTTGCAAAAAGTATTCGTTCATCTTTTAATATGCAATAACTTTTTTAAAACTTCACCAAATGACTTGAATTTCTTTTAAATGTTAAAGGGACTAGTATGCTAGTTTGCTAGACTATGCAATGACTAAAATACTTCTTGTTAATTTTGCTGTTACTTGGAATGAGATAAAAAAATAAGAAACACTTGTTCCTTAACTTTCTTATTTAAACCTGGAACGAAAACTTAAAAAATGCGTTTCGTGGACCTAGGTAGCTTACATGCATACTGAAAATTTCATCGAAATTGGATGGTGATGTTATGAGCTACAAGCAATTGAAAATGAAAATCGCAGTTTTTTACGAATTTAAACCAAAACAGGTAATTTTTCCATGTTTCAATGAAATTTTCAGTTTGCATATAAGTTACCGAGATGTACAAAACGGATTTTTTAAATTTTCGTTCAAGGTTCAGATAAAAACAGTTAAAAAATGAGTGTTCTCTGTCTTTCGTTGTTTTTTATTTTATGTAATAGCAGAATTCAAAAAAAGTATGCTAGTCATTGTTCCGTAAACTAGTCCCTTTAACAATTAAAAAAAATTCTAATCACTTATACCAGTTTGGAAAAAGTTATTGCGTTTTAAATTGTGATCGAATACTTTTTGCCAGGGGTTGTATAACAGGTGGGCAACTGGAGTCATGCTCTTTCTGGAAAATGTTACGGATTGAAAGTTTGTAAATACACTTGGCGATTCTTTTTATGAATGATCCTAACATGAATTTCAAAATTAACCTTTTGCATTCGAGATTATTTTAACTCCCAAATGAAGACGTTTGTTTCAACCTATAGTATTTTCATTTGATATCATTGTTTTCATTTAATACATATGAAATTCAACGTGTAAGCTTATAGAAGACTTCTATTATTTCACGATTTATTTAATACAGACAAATTTAATAATGTGAAAATTCTGTTGAAAATAGTGTAACAATTTTTAGCGTCGCTTCAGAATAGTCACTCGAGTGCAAAGAGTTAAAGCCTTCCCTTTACAATGACTCTTTAAACTTCGATGTCCGATCCTTTTTGAAGTTTTATTCGACGCTATCGAGTAAATATCCAATGGTGTAAAAATTTATATATATATAACAATTTACCCGAATAAGATTTTATTCGAATAAGAATTCATTCGAGTAAGAATTTATTCGTACAGAAATGCATACGGATTTGTATAAAAATGATGATGTGTATTTTTCATAGTCCATAAATTTATTTCTTCCATATTCCTTTTTTCAAATGTTGCTTTTGGGTTGATTGATCATTAATGCATATACTAAATGATCTTTCTACAGCGGAAAGAATCGTCAATTTTATGATTCTATGTATAAATGATTGAGATTCAACTGATCCTGAATGTATTCGCATCAATAAATAAATAAATCTTATAAAGTTACGCAAAAACAAACACAGTTTCTATTCGAATAACTTATTCGGATAAGGAATTATGCGAATAAAAAGTTTGTCTAAAAAGAAATCATTCGAATAATTATATTATAAATAAATATTTGTTCAAAACAATTCGAATAATGCCCAACTCTGCTACACGGTCGAACTTTTTCCTCGTTTCTGTTTGATAAAACGACTAACAAAGTCGTACACCAAGTTTTGTGAGGTCATTCTAAAGAGATAGCTTCGTTCTTCAAATCTGCGGTCGATTTATTCATGAGCAAAATTTTTCAGTGATTTCGGAGACGTTTCAATTTGTAGCATTTTCGAGTAAACCTTTGTCTTCGGTTTTTCGTTTAGTATGAGTTATAAAAACATGGTAGGAACAACTGATCAATGAATTGCGAAGATAGAAGCTTTAAAACAGGTCCGGATTTATTATGATATTACTCTTTTTTTACGAAATTATTGCAGATCAAATATCGACAATTTGTCACACATCTGAAATTGCAAAGTATGTATTGCAACTACTTTTTACACCGTCTGTATCTTGATTGCAGGCTGCTCCTCAGTATTTTAATTAGAAACGTGACTATCGATTGTCGATATCTAATTGATACTTAATGATATCTTGATAATATCGATAAAGTGTCGTTAAAACTTTTAGTGCTGACCACAAGCAACGTGTTTCACATGAAAGAATTAAAAAATTAAATTATTTGTAAAATCACAAAACCGACTACGTCTTGGTATGTTCGTATTCGAAGTAAAAATGGCAGGAGGCAGGAATATTTAAATAACAAGCGATCTAAAATGTAAACATTGGAGGAATTATGGAACACATTTTAATCTATACTTTCCTTTTCTTGTTTCAGATCTGCAAAGATTCGTACAAATGCAATTGCACAGGAATAAAGGGTGGTCCAGGTTATCCCGGAATCCCCGGGCCACAAGGACCGGAAGGGCTTCCGGGTGAAATCGGTCCGGACGGTCCTCCCGGTCCAAAGGGTGAAAAAGGTGCTGGCGGAGAATATGGCGGCACCGGAGAAAAGGGCTACCGGGTAAGTCAACAATTTCATCTCCAATTTATTTACTAGATGCAACTGTTCGAAAGTATTACCTCGGTTATCCGAATTGCTCGAGGTGACAGAATTGTAATCGAACCCTCGGTTTGCGATCACTGGGTCATTTTGACCCAGAGTATGTTTATCATCAACTAATTACTCAATCGACGGAAATAGAACAAAATAAATTGCTTTTACACTAGGAACAACCTAAAGACTAATAGATCTATAATAGGAAGAATTAATGAATGAAGTTAAGAATTAGTATATCATCGTCAATTATATAGTTGTTAAAATAATCCGTCGTCCGAGGGTTAATATATTGCAATGCAACATATGATCGATTACATGTACAAATGACGAACATCTTTTCATTTGTTATTCACAAGAAAACGCGAGTGTTCGAATAATACAGCTTTTGCACTCCGAATTCATGGTTTTGTAGGTCATATTCATGTTTTTTTTTTCAAGAAAAATTTTGTTCCCCTCTCTTCAAATCAATCAATCATACACCCTTTTGCAAATCTTATCCTCCTTTCGTCGAATTAAACACACCCTTTTGCAAATGAAATTCATTTTATGGGTGTCTAGAGTAAAGTAATATAAATACAATTTCAAATATTCTTTGCAAATTGCTTCGAAGATTACTGTAGACACTAAATAGAGACAGTCGATCGAAGTTATATGTATATGCAGTCATAGTAAAAAGTATTCGTACGCCTTTTAAAATTGAACAAACTTTTTATAATTGTGTGTGGGTCAAGCTATTTGAATATTTTTGGGACTTCAGAGAGATTTGTTTACTAGACAATGACTAAAACATTGTTTTCGATAATTACGATTGGTTGGGACGATAAAAAAATGAAAAAAATATTCTTTAACTCTTTTATCAGAGCCTATAACAAAAAATTAAAAAATACATTTTGTAGATCCCGGCAACTTATATGCATGCTGAAAATTACTTTGAAATAGGTTGACGTATGGTCAAGTTACAGTCTCGAAAAGATATAAAAATTACCCGTTTTTGGTTATAAATTCGTTAAAAACTGCTATTTTCACGAACTTTACATGTTAACAGCTCCATAACAACGTCAAGCGATTTCAAAATGCATTGTTTAAATTTTCGTGATAGACTCAAATAAAAAAGTTGAGAAAACAACATTTTTTAATTTTTCTATCATTCTAACCAATCGCAATTTTTTAAAACAATTTTTAGTCATTGTCTAGTAAACTCTAATATTCCAAAAACATTTAGATAGCTTGACTCGATTATAAAATTGTTATTCTATTTTAAAAGATGTACGAACACTTTTTACACCGACTGTAATTAGCTTTAAAAAATTTAGGAACTGTGCAACTTTGTTGGTTGGACTGACATTACTATTTTTATTGCCTGCAACTATGACCTAATTGAAGCTTTTTCGGAAATTCAATAGTGGTAATACTATGATGACATATGTTCACTATTAAATTAGTATTTTAAGATCACTGTTACATACATATGACAAAATAAAAAATTTCAGACTAATAACTTTCAGAATAACAATGGTTTAAGAGAACAGAATGAAAGAAATTGATTCGCGCCTGGTTGGAAAAGGGTCCATTTGATGCAAGAATAAATTTGATTTGGAAAGAGATGAATATAATTTGCGAAAGGATGAATTTGAGTGCAAAACCTGTAAAACAACTGTGCTTAGATACGGTGCTAGATTAGACATAAGTATTTATTGCTTTGTACAGTAAGTAGTATTGTGCGTGGATTACGTTAGATTTATCTATTTACATGTGAAATGTGTTTCAATAACGAAAAATTCGGATATCGACAAGATATTTGTTGTCTAAATAGTTTTTAATAAATGGAAATAAATTAGTTTTTTCTAATTTCATTATAAAAATTCTTACTTTTTTCAAAATCAGAGAGGCTTGTGATTCGTGAAAGATACGATATTATTAATTGGTATTGATTCTCTACTGGATTAAAACATATTTTTTTCTGCTATGAAACTTTTAATCACGAGAATAGAAGGTTCTAATTACAATTTCAATTTTAAACGATCAATATTTTCATGATTGTGCATTCGACACGTACCCAATCTTCACATTTGGCGTATTGCAGCCAATTTTCGTCAATGAAACTTTGTAAATGAAGCACTTTGTGACTTCCTTATTAAAGCCTAGTTTTCTCCTTGTGCGACCATGTTTTCTCTTACTTACCATTCGGTCGGCACTGAATGAGAGACATTTGGAAGAATATTGTAGACCTTGATGGGTAACATATACAGAAAATTCTAAAATTAGGGTTCTTCGTTTACAGTGACGGCCATGTACTTAAAGATACTTGAAAAACGGAATAATTTTTTTAAAAGTCGACCAACTGATTTGAATTTTTGTTTAGATGGCAGAAGAAATAGTCTATTAGACAATGACTGTAATACTTTTTTTTTAAATTTCGCTATTACTTGGAATTGCAAAATAAGTTAAAAAAAACTCTCATTTTTCGACTATCTGTCTCTATAATGACAATTTAAAAAATGCATTTTGTGGATCTCGGTAACATATATGCATACTGACAATTTCATCGAAATCGATTGACCTTGACCTAAACTGTGAATAATTTAAAATCGCGAAAATCGCAGTATTTCACGAATATCAACCAAAAACAATTAATTTTTCGATCGTTCAGTGACTGTAGCTTGATTATGCGTCATACTGACTTCAACATAATTTTCACTATGTATATAAGTTACTGAGATCTACAAAATACATTTTTTAAATTTTCGTTATAGGCTCAGATAAAAGTTGAAAAACATAAGTTCTTTGCTTTTTTTTGGTTGTAATTCCAAGTAATAGAAAAATTAAAAAAATTTATTATAGCCATTATCTAATAGGCTATTCCTGTCGTCATCCAAAAAAATTCAAGTTATTTAGTCCAGTTTTTAGTCCAGTTATACCGCTTTTCAAGTGTACGTAAGTATATAGTCGCCACAACAGTACATATAATTGTGTAAAGATCGTGTACAAAGTTGGACAAAATCAATTAATTATCTGTGGAACGGAACAAGACATCGGCTCTGGAGCTAACTGTTTATGCTTCGAATATCAACATGCGCATTTGACGGTTCAAAACCTCGCTAATGTTACAGCCAGAGGAATATCCCAATATTTGTTATACAAAACAATAATACAGTTTACCAACAATGGAAACAGGATCTAGCTTTGGTCAGTATTACAACACCGGTTGGTACTACATGCTGCTACTCTGTATGTACTGATGCAGAAATCTATTTTATATTGTTTAATATTTATTTTTATACTTATGCAAGAAATTATTGTTTTCAACGTGTCGACTCAATAGATGAAAACGTAGATTTTCACTTGCCCTTGAATACAATCTTGCTTATTTATTATCAATTTAACTTGTAATTACCAGATCCACAAAAGCAGAGAAAGGAATTTAATTACGATTTCTGTATATTTGTGAAGTACAAACTCGACTGTTCCTATAATTATAGTTTCAAATTAATACTAATTGTGCACAGTCCATATGAAATTCATATACTTTTTAATATCATGATATTAAAATCGATACTTGTGATAAACATGACGTAAATTTCATAAACTAACGTTTGCTCGTGTATAACCGCGATCGCTTTATATAAATTATATAATCTTATGTAGCGATTGTGTGGTTAACACTAGAGAATTAAATTAATATAAACTTTCCAATATTTATAATTTCAATTTCTTGAAAACTGTGTAAGAAGTATTTCACATTTAATGGACCATATAATTTTTTAAATAACCGTCTCTCGAGTTAGCATCAATAAAAAGGATACGAGAACATGAACGTAAAACTAATTTCGAGGTATGACGCAATTACGTCATACGTTAACGTATCGTTAACGAGAAACGCAGGCAAATTTCTTTTATTGCTGTGAGTCAATTTCAACATCGTAATGTGTCAGCTGTGTTTAACTAGTTTCGTACATTAGAGCTATTTCCGTTATGGCATTCAGATAAGTGAAAACCTTCGAAGCTGTATATTTCGACATACCGAAATTACCAACTGCTCAAATCATTTGTATTGAAACAAAAAATTCGTACAACAACACGTTAATAATTATCATGAAATATTTCAACATCAGATTCAGGATGAGTCTCGTAACACGATAACCTCCAATAACTCATAAAATATTTGTTGTACGAAAAAATGTTTCAGATAGAAGTTACGTGGCTTCCAGGGGGGCATCTAGTCTAATTAGTTTTATGTCATTTTACTTTTTTTCAAGATATGATGATCACCTTCAATTTATTAAATGGAACAGTTAATGTTGAACAGTTAATGTACATCAAAAAGTATTATACCAAATAGGGTCTAAGACACACACACTGAGATATTAGCAAAATAAGTTTTATTTTAAGCGATGTTTGAAATGCTGCTCGTTACAATCAATACAATTATGTAATCTTATTATTAGAGAACGAGCAACATTTTCAAGAGTTTCTGCTGTTATTGCAGAACATGTACAATTGATACGTTGTTGCATGCGTTGTTACCTATGTAGCATCTAGATCTGTGTTTTCCAATACTGATCGGCCGCTCGTAAACAAAGTTGTCCGACTTCATTGTGTTAACAATCACGTTGATTAATGGTCTTTCCTCATGAACGTAATTTACTTTCGCTAATATCTCAGTAACTATGTTTCTTAGATCCTATTTGGTATAATACTTTTTTATGTAGAATTCAACGCTTTATACAAATTCTGGAAGAAATATTAATTATACCATTTAAAAAATTGAAGACGACTTTTATATCTTGATAAAATAGCAAAATAACATAAAATTGATTAGAACTACTACTATATTTACTTACTATATGTCCCCTTGGAAGCCATGCAACTTATATCTGAAACATTTTTTCGTGCAACAAATATTTTATGACTTATTGGAGGTCGACATGTTACGGGGCTCATACTGTATAAATGTAAATGAATTG